TAAAAATGATGACTCATATGAAAACATTTTATTATATATTTTTTTTACTAGCATTTATAAGTTATCTTATAGAAGAAAAAAAACTTCCTTATTTATTATATCATAATTGTGCTTCACTCAAAATATATTCAAAAAATTAGAGTAACATTTTATACGACTTATATTCAATAAATTGTAAAAGAAGAGTTTTCGTGATTATATTTTAAATGTACCAAATAAAAAAAGACAAAGAAAATTAAATTAATACATGAATCAATGACAATAATGAAAAATGTGATTGATACAAGACTCTAAAAATATATTGAGATACTTACTATTAATGATATAATGTATGTAAACATGTATTTGTATGTATTTCTTGTCAATGTTTTCTCGCATGCTTGGCCGTTTAATATTTAAACAGCGTACATCGGAAGTTGTATCCCAAAATTTTAATTACTTATATTTCAAAAACGATGCCAATCAGAAAATAATAAAGTAGGTTATAAACTTTTTATCGTAAAGATTTTATAATTTTTCATTTGTCGCATGATTTTGTTGCACCTTTCTGCGATATCCTGTATAAGTCTTGTAATCAATTACACATTATACAAGTTCTAAAATGGAGCAGTAGTATGAAATCAGAACCATGGAATTGGAATTGGAATTGGAATTGGAATTGGAATTGGAATTGGAATTGGAATTGGAATTGAAGTCGGAGTCGGAGTCGGAAAAAATATACCGAAATATGAAACATGAATATATATACAGTGAACATTGGATAATTGCAACAATCATCAGGATCCAAATGCTGCAATAATGAAGAAGTAGAATCATTTCAACCCCAAGAAACGAAAATTTTAGCATGGCGGACGTAAAAAAGAATAACGCGAGTGAAAGACTGAGAGTCGAAGCGTTCAGCAACATTAAAGACTCGCAATGAGCTTGAGACCATTCATTCAAAAATCAAACTTTTTTATTGTGACTTTTAATGAATTAAACTTTCACCATCATGTTTCTTATATTTTTCTCATTCAAATGACACCAAACACAATAAAATTACGACCATAATTACTTGTATTATAAGCGATTGAAGTTTCGAATGCAGGAAAGGACTGCGAATACAAAAGGAAAGAGTACGTTGAAATCGTCGAGTCTGACAATAATCGGATCATGTTACACCCTTCAACCGCGGCCGGTTGTCGAGCGCTATGGTGTGTTAAAAGAAATCTGGTGGGGTATGGTGGGGATGAAGACATTGCAATTATGAAGAGGTCCCCGATGTTGCAATTATTCAGTATTCAATGTATATCAATTGTATATGCTGCAATTATTTGCTAACTAAAAATTCTTTATATAAAAAATGTTATGTGTTATGATATAATAGATAATTATGCATGCATTACATTGCACTTTTCAAATTCAAATATAAAAATCATTTGTATAAATTATTAAAATGTTAAATATTATATAAAATGTTCATACCTCACCAATAAGAGCATTTTGCCAGACACGAAATAACATTACATATGTTTTATCTCTGGCACCAAAAGATGTTAAAAAGAACTTCTCTGTGGCAGTTGATATTGACATTGCATTAGGAATAACAATGGCAGTTTTTTCTTTGGTAATAGATGTAACATCTTTCCAACGCAAAGATACTAAAGTTTCCCAACTGAAGATATTTGCATAAAAGCATACATAATTTTGAGAAACATAAAGTCTTCCATGAACCAATATTTCACGTTGTAGTGCACATGAATAATCTAAAAATTATGCATTTCGATATATACTTGAAATTTAATGCTCGTAGCATGATTTATTACTATTTAAAGTAACCAATGTTATTAATTATCGATAATAAATATATTTTATTATGTAACAAATCACTTTGCATTAAAACGTAAAATATTTCTATTGTTTCTGTATATATGAGAAAATGTTCGAGAATTTTCAAATTGTAATTGGTCATAATTTTAGTGAAATTTTATCTTTTCAATGAATATAAAAAAATATTAAATAAAACTTTTATCTGTATTCAAAGTTTTTGTTAATAATACATAGAATATAATCTTGTTTCTTTTCTGAAACAGAAAGATTATAAAATCTTAAAATGTAATATAAGGAGAAAAACATTCAAGTCCATTGTTAAGAATTTGTTCAAATTTTAGATATTATGA